ATATATATATATATATATATATATATATATATATATATATATATATATACAGGGTGTCTTAGAACTACAAAGCTCTCGTGAAAACGATTAGGCGACAGTTTCCCGAAAAGTGGAGGGGATAATGTTGATACCAAGAAAAATCTACACGATATAAGGGCCTATAACGTTTAATGATGTCGTTATGTATCGCTGCAGTTATTTCATAATACAAAAAATCTACGCAATGATATATAACGATGTCGTTAAAAGTTATAGAATATACTTCATAATTTAAAGATCTGTTTTTTGTAACTGTGAAGCAAGTATACGTTTTCTCACTTTAACCTTTTGCATTAGTTCAGCAGTGCAGTTATAAAGAACAGGGATCCTATTCTTGAAATTTTTGCGTATATGTAATTTTCATTGCGCAGCTATTTTATGGTATGATTAAACCTGCGCAGTAAAATTTACGTATACGCAACTATTTCAAGAATAGAGGTCCAGCGCTGGGATTCTGTAACTCGTTATTGGAGTTAACGACAGTTTCGTTATCGTTGCGTAGCTTTTCTACGGTATACAAAAGTTGCGCAACGATAACGAAACTGTCGTTAACTCCAATAACGAGTTACAGAATCCCAGCACAGGGCCCTTAGGGCTATTGCACACAAATTGACATAACTGCATATGCATAGCATAAGACCGTATGTACCAATGAGCATCGAGTAGTATTAAGTCGCCATATTGGTGTTCGATGCTTAATATTCGATGCTCATTGGTCCATACGATCTTATGCTATGCATATGCAGTTATGTCAATTTGTGTGCGATAGCCCTTATTCTTGAAATAGTTATGTATATGTAAGTTTTACTGCGCAGGTTTAATTATACCATAAAATAGCTGCGCAGTAAACTTACGTATACGTAACTATTTCAAGAATAAGGGTCCAGATCTTTAAATTATATCGTGTAGAGATTTTCCTTAGTATCAACATTATCCCCTTCGGGAAACTGTCGCCTAACCAATTAATATGTAATATAATTTATATATATCCCACACAGTACAGAAGTTTCAAAAAGCTTTCAGAAAGATTTCAGGAAGATCTCAAAAAGGTTCAATGTTTCTGAAACCTTTCTGAAAACTTTTTGATACTTTTGTGCTCTGTGGGATATTACTTGTAATATATATATAATTTATATATATATTACAAGTAAAATATATGTGCATATATATGTATGATGTATATGCACAAATATCATATATATTTTATATATATATTATAATTATGTTATCGCATAAAAATAAATATTTTGGATTAATTATATCTCGTTTTTAATATATTATTTCTGCGTATAAACAGATCTGCCAGGCAAACAGTCAACATGTTTAAAAAAAAAATATATATATATATATATATAAAAGAATACATTCAAGATATATTCAAGATTATGCTGAGGATATTATGTGTACTATGTGGGTAGTATATAACATGATTATAATTTTTACAGCTCTACTCATTTGTTGTTAATTTGTAGTAAATTTTGTTTACATAAACTCGATATTATTAGTTACAAATAAGGAAATTATTATCAAGGAGAGAGAATCATTTAAGAAAGAATTAAATTCTAAAGATATAATAATTATTTAGATGATTAGTGATCACATAGAAAGTCGTCATAAGTCGTTTGAAGACTATTCTTAATCAATCTCTCTCTTTCCCTCTCTCCCTTTTTTCTTATCCTGTCATAACTCTCTTTGAATGAGCTTGTCCGTAGAAAGTTTTATTCCAGCGAATTCGTAGCGTTGTCGATACTTTTGACCAAGTATCTTTTCAAATGTGACTCTTTACCAACATGCTGTATTAAGATGCTTACGTAGAGTCATGTAGAGTTGAAAATGGCGGCAGAGTGAGCAGTGTTGTTTTGAACCGATCGTTTCTGCCGACAATCATACACATTACTCGATTCGACTTGAGGACATAGTCATGGATATCTCAAGTATGCTTGAGGTACAAGTAAAGGAAGTGAGAGTAGAGACAAATGTCAAAGAGAACGGTGAACATAGCGGTTCCAAAGGCAAGGGTACGCGACTTCTCATACCTGGATAATCTCAACGCACACATCATAACCTAACAACCTGTCTCTCGTCGTTTCAGTCACATCGAGAAGTCAAGGATTCAATGCCATAGAATCTATACCGATCTCTATAGATGAGCACAATTACTATCAAGTAACGTTCGGCAAGGGTTAGTTTTCTTTTTTAATAAAAATACATTGTCATTTCTTGTAATTTACAATTTGTAATTGAATTGTAGCTAGTTTAATTTTATTTTCTGCTTTTTTTGTATATTATATGCATTTTAAATATGAGGAATCATAAAAATCAATGCTGTGGGAGTTATTGTATACTAAATTATATTCTACTATTGTATTCTACTGTTAAACATTTGATTTTCATAGATATAGCATCTGTACGATATCGCAGACTTCATTGTACAGCTTGTGATGTACATATTGGTTCTGCTCCATCTCAATCTCATAATATGTTAGAACATCCTGTACTTCGTACATTATTATGTGCAAGATGTCGTGAATTTTATGGTGATGGGACCTTTGAACAGGGTAAATAATTTAATTGATTTTTATCTTTTGCTTTTTTAAAGCTTGTTTATTAATATACATATCTATATTTCATGTTTCTCTATTGCATTCTCAGGGGATGATGCTACAGACATGTTCTGCAGATGGTGTGCAAATGGTGGTAATTTATATTGTTGCTCTTATTGCAGTAATACATTTTGTTATAAATGTATACGAAGAAACTTTGTATCTCGCGTAAGAAAGAAAATTGAAGCAGATGAAAAATGGCAGTGCTTTGTATGCAACCCAGCCGATTTATATGATATGAGAGCTGTATGCTGGGCTCTACTTCGACATATACAAACAGTAACAAGGTATTAGGAATGTAATTACTCTTAATCTTTATATTAAATACAAAGTGCTTAAAAAATATGTTAACACTTATATGAAAAGTTATTTCTATATAAGTTATTTCTATATAAGTTACTTCTATATAAGTATTAACATTTTTCTTTAAACACTTTATATTATGTCACTTTATTATGCATTCAATGATAAAAATGACGAAAAGTTAATAAAGATCTAAAGGATGTTTACTTTCGGAGTTTTTAGACATTTTTTCTCATAATTATGAAATTCCTTATGATGACTTAACTTGAATTTGGTTGTATATTCCAGTATACTACGAAATGAAAAAAATATGAGTCCAGAAATGATCAAGGAAAAAATGAATTTGGACGAATCCGAGTGTTGTCCGCGCAGGAGTAAACGTAAGCAAAAACGGAGACAGGAATCTAATTCGGAAGATGAAGACGAGAGTTATATTCCTAAAATTAATGGAATACCAATAATTATAAAGCGTAAATCAACCGCAAGTGTAAATCAATACAAGAAACGTAAATTGAGACACAGCGCACCAAATGGCACAAAACAAGTACGCCCACTACTAATTCCTTATAGACTATCTGCGTCTTCATTGCCGAACGAAAAGCCGAAAGAATCGAAATCGCCGTTTCCGCAGAACGAACCAGCTAAAATTGACTGCCAAGAAGCAGTTGTCAAGTCACGCGAGAGTACCGTTACTCCACCACAGAACAAAATGAACTTGATTGATTCTCCCACACCGACGCGATACGAATCCAGTGCAATTCCACCTTCCTTGTACCATACGGCCATTATCAATCAAACTGCAGCGTCTACAACTTACATTCGACCGGCTATGATGAACTCTGCGTTTCATCAAATCATTCTGCCAGCGCCACCGCCAGTACAAAAGATTCAGACAATTCGTAGTAGCTCCTATAATTCGTCCCAGTCTCTTCGGAATTCAAAGAATTCAATGGTATCCATATCCAAACCGATAGAAAATCGCTCAAGACCTCAACTTATTTTTCCAACAGTAAGAACATCCGAAGAAACATTAACTCCTAATATAATCGACCTCGATAGTGATTCCGATGACGAGCCGAAAATCGTCAAACAGCATAATTCGACGAACAACGATGTGGAAAATATGGACTTTGTAGATATCTCCTCTGACAAGATAATACCCGTTGCTCTTTTTAGTACAGAAAATGATAACAGCATAAAGGAAGACGACCAACCTCTAATAGAGGTGTGCACAACTTTAAAGAAACCACCCCCTTCTTTTAGCGATATAATGTTAACGCATAATCGAGAACTCGATACATTTTTAGAAAACTTAAAAGAAAACATGCATAATTTTTTTACTTTACCTGATAATGAGACTGTTAAAGACAGTAAATTGGCGGCCGACCAAAAAATCAAACTATTCCACAAAAATATGCGTGAAACAGTTTTCCAGCTAGCGCATATTAACGATAGAGTAATACGTGAATATAACAAATGGGAGAGGTCCAGGAAGACTGAGACTGAAACATCATCAACTAACCAAAGTACAGTGATGCCCCGAGAAAATATAGATATTCCTTTAAATATGACTTGCGTCAATGAGTCTGATACTGAGTCCGATTATGATAAATCGGAATATCAGATTATAGAGTCATCTGATAATATTAAATCTAGCAACATTCTTGAAGACTTATTACTGTTTGAGAAGAACGTAAAACATTGCAGTGTTGGTAATAGTGCGCCTTCGACTGAAGATAAAGCGATTCAGGTATACGATATTCTTTCAAAGGATTATGAAAAATGTATCAGTTATTCTTTGTTGACGAAAGCCCATTACGAGAAGGAGATCGACGAGGATGTTTTGGAACCTGCGAAAACACCCAACGAGAGTTACTTTGATAAGTATCAAGAGCAGTTTATCTTTTATTTGCAACATATAGAGGATTACGGTATCGAAACGGAAGATATGAAAGGGTTGGAAAATCCGGACAAAACCTTTAAAGAATCGAAAATGCCAGACTCACCGGGTACTTTAGAATCTCGCCAAAATATCAATTTGCTTACTGCATTTACCGAAAAGTCGGAAAATTGCGATCAAGAAGAAAGTTCGGAAAGTTGCGCTAATTTCACCGATAAACTCGACGTGCCGGCAAACACAGCAGACATTGTGGAGATTGCGGAAACTAACAGTGATTGCAATAATGAAATACAAATTACGAGTATACAACCTGCCGAGAAAATCGGAGAAACAATGAAACCATCAAAAGTTCAGAATGGTGCGACAACATTAAACAATGATGATGCGAGTTCGAGTAAAAATGCCAATGACGTAGTAAGTGTGGAAACAGCTATAACGGAGAGTGAGGACTGTACAATTATCGAGGATTAATGAAAGACTTCACTAAGTTATGTGTAATATTACGTAAATACTCGAATAATTTACAGTTCTAGTTTAGGATAAAACCTGCTTTAAACGATCTATAATGTGCGACAGAGAAAATAATACAACAGAATATTTATATTATTGTTAATGTGCGCAAAATGAAGACATGATTTATAAATAGTTACAATTCGAATAGTTATTATATTAAATATAACACACATCTAACTAAAATAATTCAGATTGAATAGTAAATATAAAATTGTTGGTATCATCCTTATATGTTTACATGCGCAATATATTATGTATAATGCAGATACATATGTATATATATACATATTGTGTCCATAAAAGTAGCATATATAATATACTTTATATATGTATGTATACAAATTTACATCCATAAATGTAATTTTGATTTTTTAATCAAAATATTCTAAGAAACGATTGCAATTTTCTTTTATTATGTCATAAAATGATATCAATAAAATTTCTTTTTCTCATGTTTAAATTATTAGAAAATAAACACTAATGATTCTTCGAATAGTTTTTGTATTATATAACGTACCAAATTATAAATATAAAAATATAAAAGTCTAGAATTTTATCGTGAATTATAGATGGTTTAAAGCAAATTTAATTTGTAGAAATGTGACCACTTGGCACTTTTATATTTTATAAAGATGTTTCAATTATATTCTGAATATTCTATTCTGAATATATCTTCATATTATATTCTGAAAATTGCATTGTCAAAAATAATATACATTGTATATTATACGTAATATTTTATTTTTAAGTTAAAAAATCATTGACGATTTCGGAATAGGTTCTGTTCAATAAAAAGCTTATTATCAAAAAAAGTTAGACTGATTTTTCTTTTTTTCTTTATAGGTATTTTTAACACATTGAGTTCCAAATTAGATTCGAGTATGTATGAACAGAATACTAGATCAGAATTTTCTGGCCGCCACATAGTTGTATACAGTTATCATTTAATATGTTGCACAAGTTGCTTAATTAAGTAAGATATCTAGTAAAATCAATTCTAAATAATAACAAAATCATATACAAATAGATGACGAGTCTTTCATAAAAATTTATGCATTGTCTAGATATGAATGATGTGACACTCAACGTGTTAAAAGCATTAAAATTGTTTGTAGTAAAAAAAAATTTCGCTAAAAACTGATGTGAGGCTTTCAACAAAATGGTTCATTCAAATGTATCAATTATGGAAATTTGTTCAGCGAAATTTAATAATTTTTGTAGTTTTATGAATAACTGCTTATCGATATCCTACAACTATTAATATCCTATAAAAATGATTTCTATTTGTTGAGTTTATAGAAGATGACGTTAATTTTGTGATTGATTTTATATCCTTATGAATAATAGTTAATTAATATTCATCATATTCATTCGATAAATATATTTAAATTTAGCTATTTTGTATTTTTGTCAAGAACAATGTCTTATTAGTGATTTAATTTTTTTTATATATAAGACAAAAGTTCTAAAACACCAAAATTGTGTTTAAAGATTGAAAATATATAAACTATGTACAGTATAGTGTTATATATTATGATTTGACATTTTCATATCAAATGTTACTATAATGACAGTTTCACCAACGTAAGATACTAAATTAAATTTGCGATGACTTAAGGAAGCCCCTACAAATAAATTGTTCAAAAATTGTATTCTTATATTGCGCGAAGTAATTATCATGTATCGTATACTTACATATAAATATATAAGTTTTTTTCCTCGCTATACGAGTTTCAAATACTGAATTAATTTATCTTTATGTTGCATAGATATAAACATTTATATATACACACACACACACACATATTATACATAAATATAATACAATATACAAAAGGCAAATAGTTTCATTCCTTATAGTGGCGTCGGGCCTAAAAATATGTAAAATATAACTATGTATGTTAAAAACAAAAATGGTTTCTTACACGATTTTTCATTATACTGTTTGACATAAACTGAATAGTTTCTATTTTATTTTTATCGAAACATATGTTTAATTGGTACGATAATAAAGTGTCTTCCAGATATGACAGAGCCACTTATTAGAGTTGACTTCTTTTTACTGAAAATATCTAAGAGTTTATCATTTATTTCTTAATTTTATCATCTAGTTCTCAATTTACTACATTAATTATTTTTGTAACCAATTTTTATATGAATTATAAAACTATCAGAAAATAAAATTTACTCCAATAAAATTAAATAGAAAATGAGATTTTACTTAACTAAAACGAGTTCTAAAACTAATTACCAAAAAGTAAGTAATTTTAAACTTTTATAACTTAAAAATCATCGATCTTCTCATATTTTTATTAAAGAAATATGTAAGCTCTTAATTGCTAAAAAGCCTAAGAGTGGTTCAGTGGATCTGGGATACCCTGTATATAGAGTATTATGTAATAGTGATATGAACTTGTATATAAAAACATGACGTTCCGTACATATATAAGAGGACATAATTAAGTATACAAAGCTTTTATATTATATTGCCATGATAGATATACTATGCACAACGGTTATTTCAATGTATTTGTATGTACGTATATATATATATAAATACTAATATGAGATATACCAATTTCTGCTATATGTACTGCTATGTGAGATATATATATATATATATATATATATATATATATATATATATATATATATATATATGTGTGTGTGTGAGTTTTGAAAGAGAGGGAATTGCATGGAAAAAGTAAATTGGTTTTTATTAGATAATGTGTTTTTAAACTTAATATAATTTACGTAGCACATATGTGACCAGCCCATTAAACTTATTCCTTTTTAGTAGTTGTAAATGTTTCAATCTTCCATTCAAAGTTTATCGAGATCTTGTTTTGCCTGAATAAATTTACAACAAGCTTTCAATTAGCATAGTTGTTTCTTATAATATAACACAATTACAACGATTTCTTTCCAACGTACTTTTATTTCATTTCTTGTCGTATACATATATCAACTCACAGAAACGTAACATTCGCCTGGTCGAGTAAACATCTTACTTTCAGCGTATTGATACCTATTTGACTTATATTACACATGAAGACGCATGTAAGTCTTGCTTTGTAATGATTTTATCATAGAAAGTCATTTATCTAATTACACGCCTGTAAGAGTTCGCAATCAATGATTTGTATAAAAAAAAAGAACTCAGTAGAAAACTAAAAAAGCATAAGATACTCGTAGTTGTCTATTACAGACGTTTGTACATGAGAAACGTAATTTTCTATCTTTTTTCTCCTTAATCACTACGACACGCGAAAACGTTTATGTTTGTGTAATACTACTCTCCATCTCGTCACTACATTACGATTTCGCGTGACGTGCTTTTATGGGTACAAATATAGAAACTGATAATGTAGCTCGTACAATGTACTTGAGCAAGTAGTGGTCCTTCATATAATAGTTTACATAAATAACACGTTAACACGTTCGTTGCCGACTTAATGTAACATAACGGATAAATTTCCCTTGGTAACGCATGCATTACATACGTGGTAGCGAACGTGTTAAAAAATAGAAATGGTAATGTCGAGTTGTCTTAAATAGAAATTAGCAATATAAAGCGATATGAAAACACACGAGAACACAGATCGCCGGCAGTTTGTCTGATGACACTCATATGCGTTGCACTGTAGAATCATTGTTGCAGCGTTCCTAGAACTCCTGAGTTATCCTTATGAATAACTTCTTAGTATCGAAATTGACCCTTCCTGCCCATTCCGTTATGGTATACCCTTAGCGGCGTATAATTTCCATTTCCGTTCATTGCTATATTTGTAGAATTATAAAAAAAAAATTATGGAAACGATGAAAATTAGAAAAATAGTCGCGCGTTTGAAAACAAGTGACAGACACACAGTTTTCCCCACGATGCATGCAGAGGAAAAGAAAGTGTTACGAAGAAATCTGTAGAATCGTTATTTCTTCGACTGCGATGAATTTCAATTATCGTCAAAATCAGAGGAGATTCGCGATTCTAAAGATTTCCGCGTTAAATGCGAGAGGACGCATTGTTAGACAGTACACAAAGTACACATGTTCCGAAGAACGTAAAGCAAAGAATTGTATCTCGACCGTATTTGATCACTTACTCGATTCGTAATCTCTTATAGCAGCTTGCAAAGTCATGATGCGTATTAGACAGTGCGCTCTCGCAAAACTCGACTAGCATGCGTGGATATTAATTAAAAGCCGCTTACCTTGCACAATCGTAGAAGGTTGACGAGGACCTTGGATGGTGTGTGCATGACATCTTGGCTTCAGTAGACCGTGATATAATATGAAATACAGGACGGCAACAATGGCCGCCGCTACTGCCATACAACGATATACAAATCTGAGTGAGTTCACGATGTCCCCGTCGCCGAGATTGACATAAGCACCGATGGCGGCTCCGATGCTCCGACCTATATACAGTTGAATATGGAATAGAAATCAATAATTTAGATTACTGATGGTTTTGTTGTAACATTAATTGGTAGCGTACCAAAGCCGAAGTGAGCTATCACAGGCAGCCCTTGGGCAGTCACCGTTAAATGACGCGGTACTAAATGTCGCAGGTAAAGAATGGCAGTAACCCACATTATCCCTAAGGTGAATACTTCTAGAGCCTCCGAGATTAGAGACCACCAAGGTCCCATTACGAGACTCAGTCCGGTGAATCTGAGTAAAAATTGGTTGAAATTGGTCTTAACGGTCGGTATTTTTGACACGAGTAAAAAAAAACCCAACAAGATTTTCCTCGATGATTGTCGTGCTGTTGAAATAGGAAAAACTTACCTACCTAATTATGTACACCGTGAAGGCAGTGATGAGAAGATTACTGTGGCCACAATAATCCACGAAATGTTCGGACTTCCAGAGGAACAAGAATGCCGGTATCGCTCCGACAGTCATAGCGACACCAATTAAGAGTTCATCGCCTCCTAGCCTTTGCAAGTGCCTGCGTTTGAGGGGAAGAGATTTTTAGCGTCTCGGATGAACGTGCTATCACGATGACGAACGATTCAATCATTCGTATAAAGGTATGAAACTTTCAATCAGAACTCTTACAAGGGTAGGTAGCTGTCCATCGCGCTCCAGAATGTTCCCAGAACTAATAGCACGAAGAACAAGGCGGCGGTCTCGCTGCCGTATCTCTTAATAGCGCTCATCGGCAACGCCAACATGCCGCTTCTCGTGTGCCACCACCATTCGGGTGGACTGAGCGGCATGTCGTTCGCCGACAAGGCGATGACGGACGCGATGATCATCATCACGGCGTGCAGAACAAGAGGCAGCCAATAAGCTGGCCCTATGTCGCTCGTCAAGGTGCTTAGATAACCGGCCAAAGGTCCCAACAAGGCGAAACCGAGAGAGCCGAAAGCCAATTGGCGCCCGACGTCACCGCGGCCGCACGACGTCTCCCTGGTTGCTATCACCACTGCTGCGTCAATCAGAGCGACGGCAGTCGTAGGGAAGATATCCGCGACCGATCGTACGACTAGGTATATCCAGACACACGGCCTACAGGCACTACGTTGGCCGTTGCATGACGCTACCGCCCAATCTCCGGTTCTTTGACACTGGCTTTCCGCCAGCACACTACCTGAAATGCGATATTATCTCGGTATAAAGGGAAATTGTTTCCCCGTAGTCAGCGTGGAGTATATAGTCGAAGATCTAAGGGTGATTTTCATCAAACTCCAATTAAACTAATGAATTAGATTAACCGGTAGAATTGCTAACAGCAATTTCTAGCTGCATAATTTTTCGTCGGACACTGATAAAAAATTAATACTGTGTATATTAGTAAAATAGAACAAATAATATATCTGTATAACCCTTAACAGTTATAAATATAAGTTACAAAGAGAGGACACGAGAATATTCTTTTTTACACGTTTAAATAACAAACTGTATTCTATTATTCTAAGTAGATGAGAATGATACATAACGATTACGGTAATCACGTACCTCTCTTATCTTGGCACATTCGAGAATAAAATATACACTTTATCGATATGACTGCGACAATCGTTTAGAAAAATGAACTTTTTGCGCAGCTAGTCGTGCCATAAATCTTTAATTAAGATTCTAAAGGAAATTATTACCGGGCAGAGTATACGGATTAATCAGGTCGCATTCTATAGAGCAACTCTGATTGAATTCAGCCATCCTGATTTCCAGTTCAGGCGGTATACGACAGGCGAAGTACTCAGCCACGGGATATGCGCACCATTCCTTTTCATTTTCGGCATTCAATGCTTGCCCGAGGCTACCATTCACCGGCAAGCAGCCAGAGTATTCCGTGTAAACGTGACAGACGACGTTGTCGTCCTCGTCCTTGTAACACAGATGCGGCGGTTCGTTCTCGGCCATAATATAACGACGAGTTTTTTTCGTCTCGTCGTGATCCTGCTGAGATTGTAACTCACGTAAGCGTGCGCGACACGTACCTTTATAAGATAATAGCGCATCTCCTAAGATAATGTACTGTAATTTGCATTATTTCACTTGATGTATTAAAGTCTTACTTGTGCGTAGAGTTCACTGTCCAGAGGTGCAACCGTCATTGCGCCGCTGCCTTCGAAATCATCCACGTCAGTGTTGGCAGTACTCTTAAACGTCGTGGTACCCGCGGCGAGTTCCGCGTGCCATCGTCGCGATCCAGTCGTCAGGTAACAGGCGTAGTTACAATTCTCCAGCAACATGATGCCCACCCCGCTGTCGTCGTCGGCCCAGCGATGACAACCAAAGCGATTTTCGCATCTTTCTTGCCGCACCTAAATAAGACTCTTTGATTCATGATACAATTTTACAAAATTTATTCAAATAAAAGAATGTGTCATGATAATCGAATTACTGTGTCGTGCGTCGAATTACTGAATATTTCTCAAATAGTTTTTTTTTCTTCGCATTATATTTCCTTATATCTGATTTCCGTCTATATCAAGTCTATGCAATCTTTCATATCGTTCTTAGTCATTACCATTGCTCCGTGCCGATCGCAGTTGAACTTCACGCCTGGGTTCTTTTCCCCCGACAACAGACCGTGATCCTTTCTGGGCATCAGCATCAGCAGTGAGTAAAAGAACGCCGAAAAGATGCAGGCGACGGCGATCATCACGCGAAGGTAACGACCAGTCGACGATTTGTCATTCTTGCTCTGACGTCTGGCGAGTCTGTCGGCGACCAGCCCCGCTATCAGGGGCCCGATTATCGCGATCACCGGCGAGATTATCGATATGAATCGGACATCCTCGATGTGCAATCCCACCTTCGTCATGTGCAGAGGAAGAAACGGGAAAAGGCAGCCGAGGCCTGAAGAAAGAAAGAAGCGATCACGAGATGCGACGTCGGAAGTCGGAAGACATCGCGGCGAGTTCTCGCCGGATGAAAAGAACGATGCTCACCTCCGAAGAAGATGAACAGAAGACACTTGAGGGATATCAGGTTCGTGTTGATGAGCTTCTTCTTTGGCAGGTCTTTCGCCGTGTCCATCTTCTCCGTCGACGCCGTCGTGGTCATCGTGGAGGAGCCGGTTTTGTCTTTACTCGGAAACGATCGCAGATGCGCCGGTCAATTGGGACGACCTGGGGTCGTCTACTATAGCCACTGCTCCTCTATCTCCATTGCGATGCGCCCATTCTGCGTGCCGTTCGAGACCACGCTAAAGGAAGAATATTATGCAGATGATATATAGTATATACAGCTATTTATAAATATTTATAGATAAGCAACGTGCCTTCTCCTTCCTTCTCGTGCCGGCCCTTTCAACCGGGAAAAGAACGAGAGCTGCTCTTGTCGACTTTGTATAAAGTGCAATTTTGATTATTAATTATATCAATTTCTGCTTAAAAGATGTAACAGAATTAGATAAGAAAAATCTATGTAACTAAATCATGTTTTTAGTAAAAAATGATAAAATTATATGGAAAGAAAAAAGGCTGTGTGTGTACTCAAATAAATATTTACATAATCGTTTAGTATAATATTATTTAATTGTTAAAAGTAACCCAGACAGCACATGATCTCCAGAGGATATCCTGGGGACATTCTCAGAGACATTCTCAGAATATCTTTAAGATATGTACTAATTTTCAAATATATATTCAACGATATGTTTACAATCTCTTATGGAGATTTGTGCTGTTTGGGAAGTTACGATATAAAACGAAAGAAAGTGATAACTTCTTTATATGAGTTGAAATGTTAATAATAACTCCAGATAAACTCATATATTATTTCAATTTCGCATATATTTCTATCAATTCTTATTAGACTTTTTAAGCAGGGATTCTATTTTAATGATGTTATGAATGATAAAGTGACAGATGTATAAAACGTCAGTGTGAAATTCTTTCCCGTCGTCATCAATTGAGATTTAATAGAGATTTAATTGAGACTTAACACTAACACACACAGAGCGGAAGTAGCGATATGAGCTCCGTTAAGCGCACGTATATCCGGTGGATCTTTGAAATTAATATTCTCGAGAGCGAAGTCTCGCACACGAGTAAAAATCTCTCTCTCTCTCTTTCTCTCTCAAATGCAAATTAATCGCTCACCTAATACAATTGAGTATTACGCGTGCTCCGTAACGATACTTCGGTTGACTGAGCGAGATCGTTATGTGATTCGGACGCATATAACCGGACAGGAAGACGATCGCACCTGTCCGCGAGACATCAAAGGCGACCCGCGTGAATGTAATATATAACGACGTCACGTGGTTCCGTAATGCGACGACAATGAAATCATTGTACTATATTCGGCCGTTGACAGACGTGCCTCGGAGACAGAATGGTCGATGTGTAAGATCGAGTTGAATGGATTTCCGCATAGGTAACGAAGAGATATGCACAATCACAATATAAGTCATCCCCTTTTAATTCTATAATAAACGCATTAAAAAAAAACATATTAGACTTTTTAAGCAGGGATTCTATTTTAATTCTATAATAAACGCATTAAAAAAAAACATATTAGACTTTTTAAGCAGGGATTCTATTTTAATGACGTTATGAATAATAAAGTGACAGATGTATAAAATGTCAGCGTGAAATTCTTTCCCGTCGCCGTCAATTGAGATTTAGTAGAGATTTAATTGAGACTTAATACTAATACACACAGAGCGGAAGTAGCGATATGAACTACAAACATATTGCTCGCTGATGTGCCAGGATATTGTACCGATAATAAAGATTCATCTGATATGGATTTCAAGTACCAGCCAGAAACACGGGCCGATAGTGCAATTATTAGAATGACAAAAGTGGTGAAGGACTCGATAAAGCGCTCTCCGACGTCCTTCGACAGGAGAACTCGCCGTTTCTCTTTGGGAACACGCTTATTATTAGATATCATATTGGAAAACCGCTCTTCCCGATTAATATAAATGACGCAAATCCAGTTCGCGTCGTCCAAGAAAGACAGTAGGTCGCAATTAATATTCCACAGCACGCGACGTTTTTCGCAGCTTTCACGGTGAGACGTCTGCCATTGCGAGAGACAAGAGCGAGACAGATTTGATCTGCAAACACGTCGCCGTAAAGTCTCCCCGGTTCCCCTGCATCTTACACGTGGGAAACAAACAACCCGCGGAGAACGGGAGGGCAGCAAAGGTATATATTTATATGTATCGGATCGTAAAGTATGCCCTGCGCGGGCGAGCAGTGACATTTATCCATGAATGACCGTGTATATACATTTTATGCGTCGGGAGAATTCGTGCCAAGGTAAGCGCGCGTGTACGATTGCACGGATGCGTTCAAGCATCGCCGCGTATCAATCTATCCGATACAGACGCAACGAATTCGGGACATTCGAGGCGCGTGCGGCCGACAGCGTCACGTGTATACATGTGCGCATGTCGTGCCGATCGATTTTTACCCGAGTAACTGTGATATATTAATTACGCGGCAACAAACTATCTCGTTAAATGTATCGCAATTAATTAAAGTTGAAAAACTTTTTTCCTCTTCAACTTCTCGTTTTTTTTTTCAAATTTTATATCCTCAATATAAAAGATACAAAAGATGATAATTATTCCGACTAATCTTTCTTCGACGACTCTAACTTTGAATATGTTATCAAGATCGCTGTGCTGAATAACATGCAAAATATTTTATGCGTCGGTCATTGTTTACTAAAAATTTATAACATAAGAAACTTCATAGGTGAAATATACTCTTTCGACATTTCCGTGTACATTTAAGAAGCATATGTGTGAGTGGAGTAAAGAACTTCATCTCTGCAAATCTTAATATAACTTGTATCACTCTGACATGTATAATTCTTAAATGTACACTGTGTCAGAAAAGTAAGTTCTATATTCATAAAACTTCTTTTAATTAATAACTTTTTAATAAACAATGACCGACAGTTTAAACTTTTTGCATGTTATTTAGTATAATGATCTTGATAACATATATTAAGTACAAGGTTACTGAAGTGGGATTAATCAGAGCGAGTTATTTACCTAGAAATTATTATCCGATCAATTACACAGCTGACAAAAAAAAATGTTGTTAAGTAACTCTAATCAGAGTAGGTATTTCTTATAAATTTTCGCTCACAGAAAATAATGTCGCTGATTAAATTGCTCCATTACGTCAGGTTTCCATTACGTCAAAGTTAATTTGAGTTTTACGTTGAGAAATTAGTGTCCCGATTTCTTAATTATCGTATCTCAAATATTTTTCTTTTTCTTATTTTCATCATGATCAACGAGAGAACCTGCGGAAAAAAGAGCGTAAACGATTGTACGGAAACTCAATTTATCTTCATATTTCCTCGGCATTCCGGATTGATTACGTTGCCGTCGTAATTGTCGTCGTTACGCATAAGCAGCGACACACTTGGTTACGTAGTTCACGACAATCTCGTCGTTCCTTCAGCGCGTCTCTCCTCCTACGCCGCCTCGTAATTAAATGTCTGCCTCCTCTGCCTTTTATCGGCATCTTCCGTCTTGCGAATTTCGCGCGGTCAGCAATCACAAACAGGAGCAAGCAGCGAGTGACACTTTTCACAAAGGAGACTGAATTAGGATGTCGGATAAAGTGTCCTCCTCTTACGGAGAGTCAGCAAGAAATCCGCCATATAAATTCAATTTTGATCTGTTATCTCTCGGACTCTCTCGCATATTGGCAAGGATATTGTGTGTAAACACATGTACGAGTAAATATATCTTGTACACATTGACGTTCCGGATGTTACACACCGAAGTGTATTTTCGAACGCGACCGAACTGTCCTTTCGCTATTCAGTCGTTTGATTTCTTTTCGTACTTGCAATTTATGTTCAAAAACATGTGCGAGAAGCGTCTTGTTTACTTCGGCTGCTTATTCGTTTGTAACATGTTTTTAAGCGGCGATATTTCTCGCTCTATTCAATAAATTGCAATTGATTGCAATTACGATGAGGAATTGTTACGCTCTTATCTGGGCATCAGTTCGCCAGTCTTGGGATGACTGCAAAACGGCGGACTGGAGCGTACAGTGCGTGTATTGGAACGACAGTTCTAACTGGGTTAACGACAAGTTACGGGAGCCTCGGATGTTTTTGCACACTTAAGGCAGTTGTATCATGAAACGAGTTTCGTGAGATTTTTTTATGAAACTTGCGCTACAAACACAGTGAAGTATTATCTAATAGCTCGTGCAATGAGAAAAAAAATTGACTATTTGGAAACTGAGATATTTGCAATTAAAGTTGATGCTTTTACATGCGTTCCTTGAGACTAGCTTAATAAGCTACTGTTAATTTCTATTTTCAATAACTTCTAAGCTACATGCATTGAGAAAAAAATACTTTAAAATTTATTTGTGAGATATAAAATTGATTTTTCTATGAATAAACCTTATATATTCTACAAATAAATTTTCAAATATCATTTTTTCAGTGTATGTGAAATTTTGATAACAAATTGCTATAATATTAAAGACTAATATATAGACATTTTATACAACTTTCAGGATTATTGATCATTCTGTTTTCAACAGTGGAAAATCTAGAATTTATAGTAACTCGAAATACAATATAAATATACACAAATCTAAATATTTATAAATCTCTTTTTATTATCTATGCATCTTTATTAGATAAACTGTGATGCATGAAATAAAGTACTGATCAGAAAAATAAAGAATAATACTTTTTTTCGTATTTATAATATTGTGAATATGTTTATCTCGATTTTGTTATGAATTAACAATGTTTAGTGAATTTAGTGAAACAAATGGATAGAAACGTAATTTTATTTGATAAATAGTAAATTAATTATGTGGCTTTCTTTTGATGCACCACTAAAAATATAGCACTTAGCGATGCAACTATTTTAAAGAAGTGGTTATTGCGTTTACCGCTCATAAACATGATTTCTACGAAACACTTCAAAATCCAGTTGTATCCAAAAGCGCGTTATTAAATGAAACCGAAACTATGATACTCACAAAAGGTATTGAGTTTCCTTCTGCAAGATTCGCGTTTGTTCGTTAATATTTACCGCATATTTACATATTTGATCCAATCTCGCTGCGTGTTGCATGGTAATGTAAATTCCACTTAGTTTCGCTTGGATGCACAGCGTTTCCTTTTTTTAATTTCGAGCTACTGTTTACGATCACCTGACGAAGGAACTGTACGCGCAGTTAGATTTCCGCGCGTTTTCCGTATGCGTGCATTATGCCAGGCTATAAATAGGCGTGTGTGAACGACACTTTTTAACTAGGCGAGATTCATCTAATTTATCTTCATTGAACGGCGCTCCAATGGACGGAAGTTACAGTCTGCATTAAGCGCAATAATAAAATACGTCTGATAATACCTGCCACCCTAATTTCGTATATGCTTTTCCCGTACACGGAATACTCCGTGCGCGCAGCTCCGGACATATTGTACTTCCATCCAAGACACATCAGCGGCAATGATGCAGAAGGCGATAGATTAATTGTTGCTTATGTACATATTTTCTAATTTTATACGGACGGAATATTGTGATTTTATTTCATATAAATTTTTTCCAACTTTGCTATGTTTCCCAAAGTGCGAGATTGTCAGCAAGATTTATCTTACAAGGAATATAGTAAATTTCGCTGGAAACATTAGCAACTTTGCTGGAGACAACAAATGGATAACAAATGTTTAAATAGTATTTAAATAGTATATATTTCATCTATTTCTCGGTTACAAAATTCTATAGTAATTTGTATTACAAAATTCTCTCCATGCATAAATCTTGTATTCATTGGGTATATTATACTGAGTATGCATATTGCAAACATGTATTTTTTTCGAGCGTCTCGACATCGAGAAAAGAAGAAAATGTCTGGAGGCAATTGCTGATATCTGATGTCGCTACGTTGGACATTCAGTGGATTTTGAGATACCTTATGCAAATGTAGCACACGATGGTTTCGGACGAGCTGTGTTTTTCTTTCTTCTTTCTTTACGGTATCTAGATGTCCTCCGCAAGACTACCACGTTGCGTCACCGGCAACAAGTCTCTGATTACGTCAATATCCAACTCCACATCGCCGAGTCACCGAATATCTTCTGGATTTTCGCGATCAGAGTCGAAATCAAAACTAATCCGCAATGTATCGTCAAATTTACGCGACATTCCTCATCATGGGTAATCAAAAACTTTTCTCCTGGAAAGAAAAACAATTGTAAAAATTATGATAAATAAAAAATGATTTCCTGAGAACGCGAATATAATGCGCGATAAGTGCACTACTAAAAGCGTCAAAATTAACGTGTTTTTCTCAGTGTTTCTTATTATTTAGTTCCATAATTTTTATATATGCAATAGAACATTTATGAAAGTATGTTCAACGATAGGCTGTCGATAAGATAATAGTAATCAGCAAATGTATTTTTCATTTCATTCCACTAATTAGGCGCGGATAAGTATAATTTTGGCAGACATGTTCCGGACCAACTATCCGAATCGAAGACTGCTTTGCTCTGATAAGAAGCAGAAGATTCTCCGTCCTCTCGAGCGAAGGCCTCGAAGACCACTCCGCCTCCCCTTCAGGCTATTATCCGCTCTTGTAAGTGTCCGAACAATGGATATTCGCACAATCGTTCCTCCTCATTTTCTTGACTCTGATGATAATGATACGCTCCATTCGTCGTCATACCGCGTGTGGAAAAAGGAAATCGCGAAACGGAATCGCCCGTGTAGGTGAAAAGAAATAAGTTCCCCCTTTACTGTTGTTGTGAGAGCTCGAGCCGACACTGATTAAATCTTTCTCCAAAAGCGTGCAGTGCTCGTGTGCACGAGATCGTGCATGCTTCGATCCTCTAAATTTAGCTTGTTTTATTACTTTCACGGTTCAATCGCACACACGTGCCGTGAGACTGAATGAAGCGCGGCAAACCAGTGCGATTTTGTAATCACGGTTTACAAAAAAGAACTCAACACGTTAGAACCATTAATGAATGTCGGATAAACATCAATTTTTCAAAGAACGTAATATCCATTAAGGATCGACGTAACAATTGCACAGAGAAAACATTATTTATCTTTTCAATAATTCTTTCCAATTTTGCTATTCCTAGTACACTGAGAAAAAATGCTTGGTATTTGTAATCATAATCACATAGAGAAATAATCATAAATTATGGCCAAGAAAATTTCTTATTAAATTCCACTATAATGTTAGCGATAATAACCTTCATATGCATGTTACTACTACTATTTTCGCGTTAGAACGACTAAAAAATATGATTTGGACCAAAAGTAATTATAATTTTAGTTAGATCAACTTTTTTTCCTTTCAGTGCGATACAAAAATAGATTATCAGTAAGATTTGTCTTGCTAAGGAATAGCGATATTTTTAATAGCACATTTCAGTTCCTAAAATATAAATAGTGCATATGAAATAAAAAGTTAGTCAATTACTGCAGAGAATATCGATATATTTCTCGGTTACAAAATTCGGTAGTAATTTTTACTGTGAAATTCTCTTCGTATGTGTGTATGTGCGTGTCAACAACTTTCTCTTTCCTTTTAATTATATTACAGGAGTGGTGCCCGATTATCACGAATATCACGAGGTCATACCGGTACTCGCACGAAAACAAAAGAAAATCAATTATGACGCTGACCTTCGTTACGCGATAAGGGACTGCCGAGCAGTTTCCTTCAAGGCAATCCGTCATGACAGACACTTCCTGCGCTGTCATGTATCTTTTGTCGTACATACCCTGTTCGAACGATCGCCAATGTCGCACGGTATTATTCTCAAGATAACACGCGAGGCACGTTCGCGTTGTGATTATCGTTATTATGTAGGGACGTCATTGTGCGTGTGACCTTCCGCGGATCAGCCCAACGTGCGTTCCGCAAAACTGGGTTAATGAAATTACGCGGGAGAAAGAAGCTAGGGAAGCGTAAAGGCGTGAGCTCATCATGAGCTCACGCCGCCGACTATGACCCCACGGAATTTCGTGCTGAAGAGAAATCACTTCGTTCAGCGAATTGCGGCTGACGTTGATCCGGGCTGGG